ATATATATATATATGTATATATATGTGTGTGTGTGTGTGTGTGTGTGTGATATACAGTATATGATATAGTGAGCATATGGACATCAAGGATAAAAAACACCAACATTTTACTTCTTTCCAAGCCCATTGTATTACTGAAAAAAAGCAGTTACATCATAGCAATTCAGTAAAGATTTGTCATGCCAAACAGGTATGCTACACATAGCTGAAGCCCTATGCTAACAATATCCCACTTTCCAAACACCAAAAAACCAAAGATCATCCCAGCAGTGGTTCCTATTGTTCCTCTCCATGAGGATGATTTCACTGCTACGGCTGCAGCGCCTCCCATGGACACACCAGCTGCTCCAGCCGCCCCCAACAAAGCCCCCGCTGTACCACCAACTCCTAGCATCTGCGTCGACACTTTAACTATCGACAAAACAACTGCAGCGGTTACAGACGCACCCAAGATCACCTTTCCTCCAGCCTCCCATGCCACTGGACCACCGACTGTGGCCCCTAAACCAACCTGACAGACTTCAGACACGAAGAATCCTGCAGAAATTGCCTGTACGGAGGATGCATGAGTCATACGGATGCTGATATTCTCCCTGCTTATGTTTTGTCCTGCCAAGCGCATTTTGACGGACATGCCTGCCACCTCCTGTCCGGCATGAACAGTCAGCACGGCAATGGCAAATGTGGCAAACATTCCCACGCATCCCATAAGCATCCAAAAGTCCAAACGTTGTGACCTCATGAGCCAAAACGACATGCTTAACACCACAACTAACAGGATAACAAAAACAAATCTGTAATCTCCAAACCCAAAGATGCCAAAGCCAGCGGGCACAAAAGCAGCCACAGTCATCGGAATGCCAGAAAATGCAAGAAACTCCATGTATTTGGCCATGGCTTTGAGCAGGCGATGTCTAGAAGCCCTCTGCTGCATTTCCAACTGAACGACCTTATTTTGCTGTTGCTTTATTTCTTCTCTTTCTCTTCGTTGGGCCTCCCAAGCAGCCAGATCATCCTCTTGTGATTCCTTCATCTCGCAGGCGACAATCTGCTGTTCCAATTCCAGTGCAACCCGCCGTCTTAGATCTACTTCTAAAGCAAGTAATCTTGCTTGCTCTCTCTTAGTAGCATCAGTAATTGATCTTGAGAATTCATGTCCTGTGCATGTATACTTCACAAAGACGTGCATCAATAGTTTCAAGACTGTGAAAATCCCCATAGCCAAGAGCAGGCTGACCATCCCGTAGCTCATGCTCAGTTTTTCAATGATGGCCCCTAGTGCTGCACCGCTTGAAGTTGTGGCCAAGGCTGCGGCCAGTCCTGCTGCTGCCCATCCTTCACTCTTCCTCACTCTTAACAGACACAAGGCCACAGAAGCGGCAACAATAATGCCTGTTACCACCGCTGTCATTGATGCGATGAGTGCAGTAGTTCCTAGAAGCGCACCCAGTCCCAGAGCCCCGATGCTCTTAATGCCAGAAACGACAGGTTTCAGTTGGGCTCCTGAGATGATCTCCTGCATAATTTGATTCACCGGTTCCTCCGTGGCTCCCAGCGTACCTCCAGCCACTGCTCCAAGCACAAAGCTAATGGCAGACTCCATCACTGGGCTCTTGGTCTCTGGAAAACATAAAGAAACGTTTGTCAAATTGTGTCTAATCAGCTTTTATCAGCAACCCAGCCAACAGTTCATGGTGAGGCCAATGCAAAGCTGATTAGTTTCATACTATGGTAGTTTATCAGTGAGTTACATTGTTGTACAGAAAATGCACTCCTGCTTGCAGTCAATTATAAGAAAGGGGTGGGATTTAAGTAAACGAAAAGTTTGGAGAAGTCCTGCATACGTCACCAGAGATGTAATAGTTCACAGTAAGATCAGTGACCTGCATTTAGAAAATAGATAGAATTGGTGAATTATCATTTTATGCCGACTTAACGTTTTTTTGTAGTTTACTGTGTGCATTTTTTATCAGCTAAATGGCAAAGTAATACTAGATTTCACACTTCAACACAGCTACAAAAATGTTTACATTTTTAACATATTATCCAGAGGAAAGCGAGAGGACTGAAACACGATGAGCCAGTTTGTCCAGGAGCCATGCTCCGTGATGATGTGTATAATGTGTCCACATGCAGGCTGTAGTAAATGATGAATGTGACAACATAGGCTATAACTTCAGATAACAAAACGGCTTTTCCTTGATTCAGCTGATGTAACAGCATCTTCTTCCATACTTTTCCATACATTCCAACCATTTTCTGTCCACTGCACTCTAAATACACACCATTTTCACGCATAAATGCCATTATGTGTCATCAGTTATCTAGAACATACAGTGATGATCAATTCAGCTTAATTGTATGTACATCAGAACTGCATAGAACGTTTTTATTTTACTCTTGTATTTCAAACAAATATATCAAATATCTTCTACCTTTATGGGTAAGGGGTACACACAGCATGTACATTCCCTTTTTTTTATATCAAAACCAAGATTTATAAATAATATTAATCCATGTTTTCTCAATAAATATGCATTTTGACATCATATGCATGCATAAATATATAAAAATTAACAAAATGCTGAATAAAGAATAGTTAATCGATATATCACTATTTTAGCTATCCAAACTGAACAATGGTAAAGACAAACAGCTACAGATATTATTACATGTTAGCCTGCCATGCATATAAGCCTTAACACAGTCTTCAGTATCAGCTTTGATCTTAGTTTTATGACTATTTTTCATCATTGTTGATCAGGATTTGTCTTACTCTGCTGTGATGGCACCATGGTGACCCGGGCAAACAGGTAAAGTCCTTCCACTTGAGTGTGAAGATGTCACTCGGCTCTCTTCTTTAGTGCACCTCTGCAGCTGAGACAGCAGCTCTCTCTCTCTCTCTCTCTCTCTCTCTCTCTCCCTCTCTCTCTCCCTCTGTGTGTGTGTGTGTCTTCACATTTTCTTTGTGCACCTGCACAAATCTTTCTACTGTTTCTCCACATACCTCCTCAAAGAGCCACTGGCCATTTCTTATCATTCCAGTCAATCACATGACATATTTCTATTCCCTCTGCAATCTTTTTGTCAGGTCATTCATCACCTCAGTGTTACATCTGTGTTAAATGGTAACACACCACAAATTCATACTGACAATGTTTTGAAGGGATGAAATGGATTTATTTCATGCCACACGTGGATGTTGTTCATAAGCAGTGAGGGTTTTTCAGCATGATAAGTTACTATTGTCATTATATTGCCTTTGCCAAAGTCAACAGTACTGAGCATCAAGCTTTGAGTGTGTGTGTGTGTGTGTGTGTGTGTGTGTCTGTGTGTGTGTGTGTGTGTCTGTGTGTGTGGGTGTGTGTGAGAGAGAGAGTGTGTGTGTGTGTGTGTGTGTGTGTGTGTGTGTGTGTGTGTGTGTGTGTGTGTGAGAGAGAGAGAGAGAGAGAGAGTGAGTGT